TTTTCAACTTGGCCAAATAGGGCTTGCTACAAGCTACTATGTAGTTCAAAGCAAATAAGCTATTCTGAATTCTAATAATTACATTCTCTAAAATATGAAAACCCAATTGCCCTGCAGCTTTCAATTTTAGTTTTGAGAATTCAATTCTTTCTCCAACAATAGAGTGGGTAACCACAGAAACTTGTGGAATCTCTTTTCCTAGAAAACATGAAGAACAGGAGAGAAGCCAGTCTGTCTGGAAATTGCTTCAAAATCTCTCTATAAGCAGGATGCTGGTCTGGATTAGATGCCCCTTGAAGGATCCTTCCAAGACCTACAGCACTAAAATGTTAAGAAAAATAACTAAAATAATTCTCTGTCACTTATACCGTGGAAAATAAAATAAACACAATTTAACATCTCCCAACACAATCACTGGAAACAATTTTACTTGGATCTTGCCATGCATTTAGAAACCCATTTTCTTCTTAAATTGCACTAAACCATTATAAGCTATTAATTTGTCTATGAGCTCTCTTTAATAAGCTAGAATACAGACTGTACTTAACACAGTAAACAAGACTACTATTTTTTACTACTCTTTCAATCTACCTGTTTCCATGTACCCCAAATCTATTCATTTTCCAAGGCTTTGTAAGAAATACTACTTTCCCTCAACAAATACTCCATTCAATTCTCCCATTAATAAATTTCTAATGTGTTCATTACTCACATCACATTGTACAGGTGATTCTTATATGGTGTCTCCTATTGGTATCTGACTCACGTAACAATTTTTTGTCTCCCTAACTGAACCGTAAACTCCTAGAGTAAGATCCAAGTTTTATATTCCTCATGTACTCCCCTATTATGTTAATACTAACTTCATGATAAGTGCTTTCAAGTTATCATTGGCTCACTGGTTGATTTAAAGTGGAGAGAGAGTGCAAAAGCTAGACGACACTGTACATTAAGCACCTGTATGAAGCTTTGGAAAAGGAGACACTCCAAGAAGTCAAAAATAAACCTTTTCTGATTGCTACATATTGACATGTGTCATTAGCTGGGACTCACAGCTGAAAGTTCATACACACAGGTGCTAAAGGGAAAGACCTAGAGCTAAACGCCATATTAGTTTGGCTCCCATCCTGCAAGGAATGAGGAGCTATGAAGGTGAGCCCACTCACAGGGAAAAGGAGAACATTTTAGAAAGCACAGCATACTCCACAGGTTGCAGAGCTCTGCTGGTTCTGATTTCACATAGAATCAGTTCTTCATTCTCTGACCAAGTCAGTCAGGCAGCAATAAACAGAAAAAAACATTTAAAAAATTAAAATGTATTAACATTATTTTAAAAGCACAAGTAAAACTTGTGTTATTCTTTAAAACTTTAAAACTTGTTATTCTTTAAAATCCAAAAAACACATCTAAAATAAGACTAATGGGTATAAAAATTCAGTCATTACAGGTACACTCTACACATTTAACAGAGAGGCAGGCTCTCTGCTCTTTTCTTTATATATGAAACAGGAACTTCTTGTCTCTACTATGTGGCAGGTACTGTTCTATGGCACTGGGAATACATCATTTTACCAAATTTACAATTCCAGTAACACTATGTAAAGCCTTACTTTAGTTTTGTTTTTCTTTTTTTGAGATGGAGTTTCGCTCTTGTTACCCAGGCTGGAGTGCAATGGCGCGATCTCGGCTCACCGCAACCTCCGCCTCCCGGGTTCAGGCAATTCTCCTGCCCCAGCCTCCTGAGTAGCTGGGATTACAGGCATGCACCACCATGCCCAGCTAATTTTTTGTATTTTTAATAGAGACGGGGTTTCGCCTGTTGACCAGGATGGTCTCGATCTCTTGACCTCGTGATCCACCCGCCTCGGCCTCCCAAAGTGCTGGGATTACAGGCTTGAGCCACCGCGCCCGGCCTACTTTATGATTTTAAAGAGGGAAATGACCTCAGGGATATTCCAAACCTCTTACTTTACAGAGAAGAAAACCAAAGCCCAGAGAGGCTGGCTATCTTGTCTCAGTTGGTTATAGTGGCTATATGGTAACATAGGCAGGAGTAGAAACCAGATTTCTTATTTCTCCTCTAGTAACAAAATTTCCTTATTCATTAAGCAATTATTCCTATATGCCTCCAGTATGCCAGAGACTATGCTAGGCACTAGGTACCAAAAATGGTTAAGATACTGACCTTGTCCTGAAAAAACACAGTCTTAAGAGCAAGACAATCACATGAGTATAACCACAGAAGTGGTAACAGAAAGAAAAACCAAACTGTATCTCTAGGACTTCCAACATTTTAAAGAAAATAAACTTCTAATAGTTTGCTTTATCCTCACAACAGCCCTAGGATTACATAGCACAGATCTTATTATTCCTGGTATATAGATGGAGAAACTGAAGTGCAAAGCGGATAAGGGAGCCTATTAAGGTAATCTCCAGTGGCAGCAAAATGCCTACAAACCAGGTTTGTTTACTTCAAGTTAGACCTTTTTCCCCATTAGACGGAAAAAGCAGATGTTCTTTTCATGTCCAGTTCCCTCTAACCAAGAATACACATTTCCAAGATTATGAGCAGGACAATCTGTGGTTGTGAAAGGAAACAACTGACTTGTGAGGTGTGTCACCAGCTGAGGTTAGTTATCCAATGGGTAAGTAACCAATCAAGACATCACTATTACTAGCATTCTTCAGTGCCCATTACATACATAGAACAGATGAAAAAGGTCCTTCCCTCAGGAAGTTAATATTGTAAGGAACAGGCATATAAACATTTCAACAAAAAGTGACATAATTAAACAAACTACAACTAAAAGAACCATCACAAGCAACTGCAAATTTAAGACACTAAAAGTTTTGCAGAGCAAACCTAATGCGAGCTGCCAAGAAATATATCTTCATGGGTTAAACAGAGAACAGAAGCCTTGTATGCCTAATGGTCCATACTGAACTTCGGATTACTCAAATTAAAAGCTCTCACCAAAAATGCTCTTCACATTTAAAAACTTAAATGTCTCATTTCTATTTCCTTTTTTACAGGACCCTTTTATATTTTGTAACCTTTCCTAATCAAAGGTGATTAATTTATAATGGAAGTTTCTACCATTGTGACTTTGGCAGAAAATTAAAATTGTATGGTATCACTGCCATATTCTTCCACCCTCGGATATAAATTAAATGAAATAAAACTGATCATTTTTCTCCCACACGTTAAAATTTACATACACACACACACACACACACACACACACACACACTCACTCAAGAATCACTTCATAAAAACCAAAAACTAGGCTGGGCACGGTGGCTCACACCTATAATCCCAGCACTTTGGGAGGCCGAGGCGGGTGGATCACGAAGTCAAGAGGTCGAGACCATCCTGGTCAATATGGTGAAATCCTATCTCTACTAAAAATACAAAAATTAGCTGGGCATGGTGGTGCGCACCTGTAGTCCCAGCTACTTGGGAGGCTGAAGCAGGAGAATTGCTTGAACCCAGGAGGCGGAGGTTGCAGTAAGCCGAGATCGCCCCATTGCACTCCAGCCTGGGTAACAAGAGCGAAACTCCATCACAAAAAAAAAAAAAAAAAAAACCAAAAACTATTTTTCTTCAAGTTCAGTTTTAAACATTAATTTTACTTGTTTGATGACTCAACATCTTATTTATACCAGTGTTTAACAAGGCCTTATAACATGACCCAACTGTTTTAAACTGTAGCACATTAGAGAATTATTAACAAAACAGACAAAACTAAGGAGAAACAAGTATTAGTGACTTCCAGTTAGTGACAGGAAGAATTTCTTTAAGAATAGGCTAAAAAATAAGAGTTATAATCATCCTTCCAAAAGAGTAATGTTTATTTATTTAAAAAATACTACTCAGTTAAAAAAAATAATAATTAAAAAGTTCTCAGGTATTGCCTGAACATACTCAAGGGATTTATACTTACAGTCAGTTACCTTCCTTTCAAATATCTGGCGAAGGTTATAGGGTGACAAGAAGCAATTTAAATGATAATTCAAAACTACCACAGTGGGCTTCATTGGAGTTACCACTAGCACATCACAAAATGATTTCATATTTTTTTAATTCCTAAGATTTAGTTCCATCACACAAACATACATTTTAATAAATAACAGCTTAAAACTTAAATTTTGAAGCATGATGACTTCTTAAGGTAGGAAGGAAATAGGGCTTTGAATATAACTAGATCCTCAAGAGAAAGACCACTGGGCCAAACCAGATCTTAAAGTGAAGGAAGTAATTAAACATGCAGCAACAGTGACACCTAGTGTTAATAATTTCGAGCCAATTAGATGACCATTAAATCCTCTTAAATGCTAAAAAATAACCATTCAAAGCTTCTCTTCTTCAAAAACAAACAATTCTTGTGCATTTTTATCTAAAAACTACCCAAAATCAAAATGGTTCCACAGGTTTCTTTCCAAGCATAACAAAAAAGTTGTTTTGTTAAGACAAAAACAAATTAGAGAGTAAACATAAAACTAAAGACCAAAAATAAAAAGCACTGTTTATTTCTTATGGTTAACATGTATAGGTACTCCTCTTAGTACCAGAGTTTAATGCAAAGGTAATCACAGACATGTTCTAATGAGAGGATCATAAACATTTAAACTTCCACTTATAAAACTAAAGATATTACGCAAGCTAGGATAACATCTACAAGTAAAGTTAGGACATTTCAGGAATACTTAAGATGCAAATTTTTTTAAAAAACTAGCTTTTGCAGAGAGATCCAAGCTGTACATTTCACCCCTTGTTACCCTGCTAAATTTGTGTTGCTTTGAAAGGTACACTTATTAAACAGTTGATATTTTTGCCCAAGAGTTTAGAACTTGGGAGCGTAGGTTAATTCATTATAGTATTTTTATAGTTTTATGCTCTAGATGAATCTATAACAGCAGACACAATTTCAAAAATTGTTTTTGGCCAGGACAACATTGTATTTTTTAAAAAAGTAAAGTTAGCCTTAGATGGAGCTTACCTATTTGTTTTGGAATGTTCATCCTTTCCCCTTTTAACTCCAAAAATTCTTGTGATCAAGGCACTAAAGAGAAGTGTGGATGAATTTCGCACCTAATGTACAAAAGAAAACACAGTAAGAATTAAATATTCATGGCATGAAACCGACATTTACAATGCTCAAACTAGATGATTCAAAATCATTATCTAACTGGCTAGTGTGAAGCTAAAAAAAATAGGTTTGTGTTCATAAAATAATTTTAAAAAATACTTTAATCAATTCAGTGACTTAAATTGAGCTCTACAACCAAATCACATCCACACAGCACGTCCTTTTCCTATATTTCTAACATTACCATCAATGGTTTTCATTATATCTCTGCACTTAAAGCACCAAATAACACTTCTTTTTAAAAATTCATTTTTCCATATTCTTCATCACAATGAATATCCCAGTAAAATCTCAGCTCTTTCCACTTATTTTCTGAAATCATTTACCTATGAGAAAATACTTATAAAACCTAACTTCAAAGAACCAGGTACAGTGGCGGACACCTATAATCCCAGCTACTTGGGAGGCTAAAGTCAAAGGATTGCTTGAGCAAGAAGTTTGAGACCAGCCTGGACAATATAGCGAGACCCCCCCATCAGTTTAAAAAAAAAAAAAAATTAAATTAATTAGCCAGGTGCCAATGGCACATTCCTGTAATCCCAGGTAGTCAAGAGGCTGAGGCTGGAGGATTGCTTAAGCCCAGGAGTTTGAGGCTGCAGTAAGCTATGATTCTGCCACTGTGCCCAAGCCTGGGCAACAGAGTGAGAACGTGTCTCTAAAAACATAAAAACAAAACCCAAAAATCCTAGCTTCAAAGAATCCAGGTAATTAATATGGCCAAGAAAATAGTTAACATCCAAAACGTTGCTTATCAGCTTCACAATGCAAGTAACTTATCAAGTAATTTCAACACTGAAATTATCTGATAACTTATTAGTAAAGATAAGAGGTAGGAATTATCGTGAATAAACATAAATTATTTCTCCAAGATGATAATAATCTTTTCCATATCTTTTCCAAACCAATGTGTCCAGATTCTTTGAAAGATCCTAAAAGGGTCTTGACTGTTTTGGCCTTGCAGGGTTCCTCAATTACTCTGTCAAATCAGTGTAGAGAAGTCTATGTGCTCACTTTGCTACAGTGTGGAAGGCCCTATACCAGCATCATGGATAAGATCCAGAAACAGAAAACACATACTTACTGGTATTACAGACCTTATGCTCTAATTCAGTACGTGCCATAACCATATGGTGTGTTAAACAGCAATATAAGTAGAAATATCACTAAAAGCAACAACATAAGGTTTAGAAAACAGCTTCCTGAAAGCGCTGCCCTTAGAGTCACAAGCTCAAATGCCCACGGGAACAATGAGGACAGAGGCAGCAGAGGATTTGTCTACTGTAGTCAGTGTCAGCTGAGTTGCTGCCATGAGAAAATATAAGCCCAGTTTTGCCAGATCTTCTGCTTTTTCAAGAGAAGTCAGAAACCCTGGTTTTTATGTGAAATCTATTTTGAAATGCTGGCAGGAAATTAAAGGAAAAAAAAAAAAAAAACACTGTGAAAGCCAAATAAAACAGTGACGGGCTAATTTGTCCTACTGGCCACCAGTTTGTAACCTGTCTTCTAGAAGCCCAGAAGTGACTCAAGTCATGCATGGTAACCCTAGAAGTGAACTCTACAGATAGACTAGCGTAATCCATATCAAAACCGCAATAAAACCCCAAAACTGGACAGATCACTTATGTTCATTCAATAGCCAACAAACATTCATGGAGGTCCTACTACGTGCCCTAATTTAATCCCCAAACAACAAATCAATCCATGCTGTTACTTCATCAATATAATCTCTGCCCTCATTTAGGTCTGAATTATCTCTTACCTCATCTAGTGAAGTAGTTTCCAAAGGCTTTAGGTCTAAGATGACTTGGTAAAGACATCTGAAACCTTCACTCCTCTCAAAAATCAACACAAAAACACAAAAAGAAAAGGAAAACAGAAACACAGACTCCATCTTGCCCCAAGACATTACTTTCTGACAAAGGCTGCCAGATGCAATAAAATTAAACCAGGAGTGCCTACAGATGTTGAGAAATGCACACCTTAAACAACACTGTAGAGGACTATTTTACAATGTGAATGGGTATCCTCAGAAACAAAACTCCTTTGACTCAATAGGCTGCCCGCAGGAGACACATAATGTCTTTTTTAGTAATATTAAGATGGACCAGAGGGTTCCAAAACTATCTGCCTGATACGGTCTGAATATTTGTGTTCCCCAAAATTCATCTGTTGAAATTCTAACCTCCAAAGCATTAGGTGGTGGAGGCCCTTGGGAAATGATTAAGTCAGGGGATAGAGCTCTCATGAATGGGATTAGTGCCCTTATAAAAATGGCCCTAGTGAGTTGCCTCACCTCTTCCACCATGTGAGGACACAGCAAAAAGGTGCCATCTATGAACCAGAAAGTAGGCCTTCATCAGACACTACATGTGCCAGCATCCCGATCTTGGACTTCCTAGCCTCTAAATTGTGAGAAATAAATTTGTGGCATTTTGTTATAGCAGCCCAAAGGAACAAAGACATCTCTTATAAAGTGCCCTCATTAGGAATCAATGATGATCATTATGTTTTTCATTAGGTGTAGCAAAATCACAATATTCTATAGGCCTCCTGCATTAATCATTTACATCCTCAGGAAAAAAGCTTTTCCTCCATCTGCTATTTGGTTACCCTGTTCATCAGTTAGTAAAGAATTATTTCCACATATTCACCATTTTCAGAATAATGAGTTCATGCCATACCAACCTCCAAAAGGAGTTGAATGTTTTTTTGGTTTTAAAAATAATTTTTAAATTATTTTTTAATTGAGGTATAACTCACATATCATAAAATTTCCTATTTAAAAGGATGCCATTCATTTAAAAGGTTTTTACTATATTCACAAAATGTGAAGCTATCGCCACTAACTAGATTTCATGATATTTCCACTACCTCAAAATGAAACTCTGGATCCGCTGGTCCTCACTCCCTATTCTCCTGTGGTAGGAAAGCAGAATCCACTTTCTGTCTCTATAAACTTGCCTTTTCTGGGTACTTCATATTCATGGGGTCATGCAATATGTGGCCTTTTATGTTTGGCTTCTTTCACTTAGCATAATGTTCTCAAGGTTTCCCCATGTTGTAGCATATATGTTACTCCTTTTTTATGGCTGAATAATATCACATTGTGTATATATACCGTATTTTAAAAATCTGTTCTTCATTTGATGAACAGTTGGGCTATTTCCAATTTGGAATATTATGAATAATTTTGCTAAGAATATTCATGTACAAGTTTTTGAGTGAACATATTTTCATTTCTCACGGCTATATACCTAGAAGTGGTATTGCTTGGTCATACAGTGACTCTATGTTTAACCTTTAAAAGAACCACCAAAGTGGTAACACCATGTCATAGTCTCACTAGCAATGTATAAGGGTTCTAATTTCACCAGTTCTCCAATTTCTCCACATTTTCCCCAATACTAGTTATTGTCTGTACATTTTATTTTAGTGGGCATGGAATGGTATCTCACTGTAGCATTTCCCTAATGACTAACGACGTTAAGCATGTTTTTCTGTGCTTACTGGCCATCTGCCTATCTTTATTTGGAGAGATATATATATTCTTTGTGTTAAAATTGGGTTGTCTTTTATTATTGAGTTCTAAGAGTTCTTTATATATTCTGGGCACTCCACTCATCAGATATATAATTTGCAAATATTTTCTTCCATTCTGTGGACTGTCTATACTTTCTTGATGGTGTCCTTTGAAAAACATTTTTTTCCTTGATGCTGGTTAATTTTTATTTAAAATATATATATATATATATATATATATATATATATATATATATATAAACTTTTTTAGAGACAGCCTCTTGTACTGTAACCCAAGATGGAGTACAGCAGTGTGATCACAGCTCACTGCAGCCTTGAACTCCTGGGCTCAAGCAATCCTCCAGCCTCAGCCTTCTGAGTAGCTGGGACTACAAGTGCACACCCCTATGCCCAGCTAGATCAAAATTTTTAATTTTGATCAAGTCTATTAATTGTTTTCACTCGTTGCTTGTACTTTGTCATATCTAAATGTTACCTAATCCAAGGTACAAAAATTTACCTATGTCCTCTTCTAAAAGTTTTATAGTTTTAGCTTTTACATTTAGGTTTTTAATACATTGAGTTATCTGAATATGGTATGAGATGGGGATCAAATTCATTCTTTTGCATGTGGATATACAGTTGTCCCCGTNTTGAAGGCTACTCTTTTCGCATTGAATTGTCTTGGCAACTTTGATTACCAAATGTGGGGATTTATTTCTGTACAATCAATCCTAATTTGCTGATTTATGTGCCTATCCTTATGTCAATGCCACAATATCTTATTTACTGTTTCTTTGCAGTAAGTTTTGAAACTGGGACCTGTGGGGCGTCCAACTTTGTTCTTTTTCAAGATTGTTTTGGCTATTATGAGTCTCTTGCATTTCCATATGTATTTTGAGATCTGAAAAAAGAAAAGCCAGAAAGGATTTAACAGAGGTTGGGCGAATCTATAGATTAATTTGGGGAATATGTCAACTTAATAACATTAAGTCTGCCAGTGATGAACACAGGCCATCTTTCCATTTATTTAGGTCTATAATTTCTTCAGAAAATGTTTTATAATTTTCAGTGAACTCTTGTACTTCCTTTGCTAAATTTATTCCTCTGTATTTTATTGTTTTTGATGCTATTACAAATTGAACTGTTTTCTTAATTTCATTTTTAGATTTTTCATTGCTAGTGTACAATTAATTTTTGTATGATGACCTTGTGCCCTGAAACCTTGCTGAACTTGTCTATTAGCTTTAATTTCATTTGTGTGGACTCCCTAGGATTTTCTATATTTAAATCACATTACCAAAAAATAGAGATAGTTTTGCATCTTCCTTTACAAACTGGGTAACTTTTATTTTTTATTCTTTTCTAGTTAGCCTAGCTAGAACCTCCAATACAATGCTGAATAGGAGTGGCAAGTGTGGAT